GTCAGGTGTTGGGGAACCAGAGCACCTTGATGACAAATGGGCTACTGGAACAAGACGGAAATGGGCGAGAGATGAAAATGTGGATCTGTTGGAATGCTACTACTCAAGTAACCCTAGTGAGAGAGGTTACATGCAAAGACTGGGGAAGGAATGGTTACTTCGACATCCCCAGTCAACACTAAGCGCTAAACAACTAGTAGCTCAGTGTTCCAACATCCGCAAACGGCAACTGCTATCACAACTTGAGATTGACGAGATACAACACAAATGCTACGGCAAAAGGGAGGAACCCGGATGTCAGGACTGTGGGGACTTAACTACAAGTCCCCACCCAGTGAGGGGATACACGGCCCCAATGAGCGAAACAGAGCTGAACGAGACAGCTGCTGACCTGAGAGAGAGAATCATGACCCGAATGACAACCAGGCCTCCCCGGCGCCAATTACAACGGCTGAAAGTCTCATTGAGAATGTGATCCCTACCAACACCATAACAGAAACCAACATCAACAGCTACTGTTCTGCATAGGCCTGAACCCCCTCAGCCAAATTATCAACAAGACTGGATACGGATACCGACTCAAAAATGGGGCCAACATCAGTCACCTCCTCTACATGGATGACATCAAGCTGTACGCCAAGAGTGAGCGAGACATCGACTCACTGATCCACACCACCAGGATCTACAGCACTGACATTGGGATGTCATTCGGACTAGAGAAGTGTGGTCGGCTGATCACAAAGAGGGGGAAGGTGATCCGCACAGAAGGAGTCTCACAAGGAACAATAGCAGACATAGAGGACAGTTACAAGTACCTAGGTATACCACAAGCAAATGGCAACCTCGATGAGGCCACAAGGAAAGGAGCCACAGCTAAATACCTCCAACGAATAAGGCAAGTCCTGAGAAGCCAGCTCAATGGCAAGAACAAAATCCGTGCGATAAACAGCTATGCCCTGCCAGTAATCAGATACCCTGCTGGAATAATCAGCTGGCCAAAGGAGGAGATAAAAGCCACAGATATTAAGACTAGAAAGCTACTAACCATGCATGGAGGGTTCCATCCCAAATCCAGCACCCTGAGACTGTACACGAGCCGCAAGGACGGAGGCAGAGGACTAGTGAGTGTGAGAACCACTGTCCAGGACGAAACAACTAAGATCCATAAATACATCAGGGACAAAGCCTCAACAGACAATGTGCTCAGTGAATGTCTCAGACAACAGGGAACGGAGGTTGAGGTGCCAGAGATACCATCATGGGAGGACAAGCCCCTACATGGGATGTACCACCAGCAAATAATCCAAGTGGCTGATATCAGTAAATCCTACCAATGGCTGGAAAAAGCTGGACTCAAGGACAGCACAGAGGCCCTCATCCTGGCCGCCCAGGAACAGGCCCTAAACACCAGAGCAATAGAGGCCCAGATCTACCACACCAGACAAGACCCAAGGTGTAGGTTGTGCAAGGAGGACCCTGAGACAGTCCAGCACATCACAGCAGGGTGCAAGATACTGGCAGGGAAAGCGTACATGGAGCGACATAACCAAGTGGCAGGCATAGTGTACAGAAACATCTGTGCAGAATATGGACTGGAAACCCCGAGATCAAAGTGGGAAACACCCCCAAAGGTGGTGGAGAACCAGAGCTAAGATCCTGTGGGACTTCCAGATCCAGACAGACAAAATGGTAATGGCGAACCAACCAGACATTGTCGTAGTGGATAAACATCAGAGGAAAGCCGTTGTGGTTGATGTAGCAATACCAAGTGATTGCAACATCAGGAAAAAGGAGCACGAGAAACTGGAGAAATACCAGGGCCTCAGGGAAGAACTGGAGAGGGCCTGGAAGGTGAAGACCACAGTGGTGCCTGTGGTCATCGGGGCCCTCGGGGCAGTAACCCCCAAACTGGAGCAGTGGCTACAACAGATCCCAGGAACAACATCAGACATCTCAGTCCAGAAATGTGCAGTTCTTGGCACAGCCAAGATACTGCAGAACCCTCAAACTCCCAGGCCTCTGGTAGAGGACCCGAGTTCAGAGGATAAGAACCACCCGCGGTGGGTGAGAAGGGAATTTTCTTTTTTATATATATATATATATTTTTTTATATATATATTTTTTTTTTTGTAAGGGGCCAGAATAATTGCACATCTAATTATTTTGGGTAGAAATACGCAAATGTTTTAAAGATACTCAGCGTTACCTTAGTTACGACTATCCTTATTTGTGGCCTTAATGGTCATAAAATATTGCAAAAAAAGTGTATTAAAAACAAGAATTCATCAGTTTTTTGTTTTTGTGAAAATACAGTGAAATAGTACCAGAAGACACAAACTAACTAAATAACTAACTGAACATTCAGTACTAAATCCTGAAGAAAATTAGGACATGATGTGTGGATTAGAGCCAGGTGAAATGCAATGAATCTGTTACCAGGGACAGATCAGTTTTATGACTTCCTCTTCATATGACCAAACAAGAGTCTGAATGTGGTTAAAGAAAGGAACATGCGTGCACATGGTGATCAAACAGTCTCCCTGCTGTGTAACCGCATGTCCTTGTAATCATCAACAGTCTCCTCAAATGTACAACCAGGTGTGTGTGCGTGTTGTTTGGTTTTTATTGACACTTTTTGGCAAATCAAAACAGAGTTACATCAGCTAAGATAAATGAAATACTCTCATATACGGGAACTTACACACACACACTTAAACACACACATTGTTTTTCTATCTTCACAAAGACTTTGAATTGAGTTCCATTTGTTTTTTATTCATCTCTACAGCCTAACTCTGATCCCTTTATCACATCAGATTTCATGTTAACTTCGGGGGTCCGAGTTGAATTAGCAGAAAGCAGTTAGCACAGGGGTTCAGAATGGGGAGTAGTCTGGGTCTGGGGGAAAATCCCCCCAGGTCTGGGGGTTTGTACATGCAACATGAGCACAAAGGGAACACATACAAACACTGGACTCTTTGCATTTGGAGTTAGTGACAGTTATGGTTGAGACCTTAACGTTGATTCAATATATGATATGTAGGTGATCAACCACTTTCATCTATTTTTCAACGTTGCATGTTTCACTCATATTTTGCCATCTGCATAGTGATGATGGCTCAACACCCTGAGACCCTGATGGACAGTTAGATCAATTTAACTAAACTATAAATACATTTTAAAACTTTCAATGGCAGATAAACTGATTTAGGTGACTGCAATAAAAATGAATTCAAGCTGAAATGTCCTGTAGCTTGGGTTTCTGCTTTTGTGTAGTTGTCATGATTGATAATGCTGCCATAAGCTAATTGTTCTCCCTCTCCAACTATTATCATTTTTTTATGAACATAAAAAATAATCCTACATCAGTTCATCTGCTTCTTTGTTTATATCCACTCTGTCTCCTCAAATCTCCATTCAGTTGTGACAGTGACCGCTTGAACTGATCCAGGTTCTGATTCTGCTGGGTGATTTTTCCTGTTTAAGAGATTTTTTCCTCTCCACTGTTGCTACATGCATGCTCAGTATGAGGGATTGCAAAGAAGTCAGTGACACAATGCAAGCGATTGTGGCTACCTGCTGGTTCAGGAAGAGAGACTGCACTCCATGCAAACTGCTGGGTTACCTTACATACAAACTTTTTAAACTACTTTCAATAATTAACTGAGCTTAAAATGCTGTTTAATACTTAGGATTAAAAGGAACACAAATATTGCAAGGTCACTTTAACAATGCAAGGAATAGTAAAGGTGCAAGTAAAAGAAAGAGGGGAAGATGGGCAGGACTAAGACTTTGGCTGGCGAGACAATGCTTTGATCTGCTCCTTACTTCTCTCATCTTGATAAATGTGCAATGCCTCAGGTGATGGACATTGACAATGTTGTCAATGTTAAGGACAACATTCACTTTGTTGTCCTTATATCACTTTGTAACCACTTTGACTGTAAGCTTACAGTTACAGTCTGTTTGGAAGACCAATCTGTGCCCGAGCTTCACCTTCCTGGCTTATGTCTTTAGATGTTGCCTCAGTATTTCCACATCAAGTTCTTTCCTCATCAAGTCATGTGTTTTATGTTTTTTCCTGCAGCAAAACAGCCCAACAACATGATGCTACCATTGTAAGCGTCTTCTTTTTTCTACCAAAAAAAGTGAGATGGAGAAAAGGACGTGACTCCAGAATTCAAGATCTTTTCCCCTGTTTGTATTTTTAAACTGCAGTCTGATTTTTTTACAGTTCTTTTGGAGAAAAAATTTCTGAGTGACCTTTCAATGGCACTGTCTTACCAGAGTCTTCACCAAAAAAACAAGTCTTTGGCTTTTGTTCGGGGCTCAGTCTGCACATTTCAGATAAAAAGATATTCATATGTAGAGGTTCCCAAAGCCACAAGATTATCGTCTGGACTCTGCTTTAATCTTTCTGTATGAAAGCTTTTGATTATGAAGATATTAACAGATACATCTCTGACATTTTTTTCACTCGTTACTGTGGAGTTTAGTAAATCGGAAAGAAAGGACGATTCTAACAGACCTAACCCAAGATGAGTTTGTAATTTGAATTGGTTGGTGTAGCTTGTGTACTTCAGGGGGAGATGTAATACTGAAAGTGGAAACAGGTTTTATCATTCCTTAGCAGAATTCTTGCAATTTTAATAGGGCTTATAGACTATTTATTACACTGATCAGCATACTGTACTTTCAGACAAGTTATACAAATGTAATATCACTGCTACTAATAATCATAATCTCCACTACAGAAAACACTTTTGAATTGTGCTTTGCTTCTCTGTAATTTTACCCTTGGACTTAAAATGGAGACACAATTAATTTGACTGAAAGCATTTCCAAGATGTAAAAAAAGACAGTCTTGACATTAGCACATTCATCTTTTTTTGATATTGCTCACTTAAACTCAAAGATGTAAAGAGTTATAGCGCCACCTGCTGGAAAATCATTAAAGCAGTTTTAAAGCATCATTCAGACAATGAAATACAACAGACATGTATGAATACAAACAAACAGGCAGATTGTTTATTCATAAAGAGTAACAACCCAGCGGGTTGTTTGCAACAGGAAGCCTGTACAGAATATGCTGCATCACACCGCGGCATAAAGCATCTGCATGGTTCTCTACGAAGCTCAGTATGAACAAAGCATTTAACAAAGCTCAAGCAGCACAGTCCTGCATGGCGTAACAAGTCATGAAAGATGCATTGTGGGATTGTGGAGTCGTCACTAGTTTGGTTTTCTAAAGAAGTTGAGCTGATGTTTAGTCAACAGGCTTTCTCACTTCCAATAAAGACTGAAAGTAAAAGACTGGAGCAGTGATTCAGTTGTCTTGTGATGTTCTTGTTTCTTCTTTACACAAAGAGGAAACATGGAAACAAGTTGACCTACCAAACATTGATTATTGAAAATAACTAAAATACTCTTGGCTGGGTTTAACCTTTTATCTCATCAAGTCACTGAGTGCCAATATGTGACAGAGGAATAGCCCAGGCTCTTCTAGAGCAGATAAGTGTGTTGTGTGTTGCAGGACTTTACCAGAACCAGAGCTCCAACTCTTTCAGTCAATTCAGGGTAAACAGACCCCATTTATTTCTTTCTGTTTCTCCTTCAGGTCGGAGTTTTTAGTATCCATCAAGTGATCAAAGATGCATGCTGATAAGACGACATTCTACTATTTTATTGGGTAGTAAATGCACTTTGATGCAGTAAAGTAAAACCATTGCTAAGAGCAGCTACTTTGTCTCATTTGCTCTGCCTGAAGTCCCTATCATAATTTTTTTGTTTTATTCCTTTGTGGTGTCTTTTTGGTACAAAGATGCGCTACCAACCATGGCCATTTTATGCTTTTACTGCATGTGGTTCATCATAGTTTGTTGGATTTCAGAATTAAAAAATGGTACTAATGGATTGCACCAAAGTGCTTAGCATTCAATCAACTGTAAGTTAAGTACATGTGTTTTTTTCTTTCTTTCTTTTTACAAACATTTAGTTTTATGTCTAGAATATTCTCATTACCTTAACATAGACATAAGGTAATACAGATGCCTTATGCCTATATTAAGGTAATAGCTCTAACCTGCATTACTCTGCGCTACCAACCATGGCCATAAATAACTAATCACAAATACTCTATGAAAAGTTCATTGAAATGTTGGTCAGTGTGTCCCTCTGTTTTACATAAAGATAGAAAAAATAAAATTAGATGCATTGGCTCACCTTTCTACATATTTACTGGATAATTACTGGGATAGAACATGAATTGTCCATTGTTGTATCCCAGCGCTCCTTCTGATTGGTTAATCTGAACCTCATATTGGCTCCTTCCCCAGAAGCTGTCAGCTGACACAAAAGAAACCAAATAGGCAGAAAGTTCGGTTTTTCCAACTCAAAAAGAAAATGGATCACGTTGTCAGACTGTGTGTTTTCATCACTTGCTTCTCTGCAAATTAAAAAAAAATAATTCTTCTATGCCTTACACATCACCTAGGTGATGTGCCTTCGAATCCACAACATAGAACCATAACTATGTCCAAAAGTGCTGCTCGAGAAACCAGAATTTTATTATTTTTTTTCCAGTGAGTTCTAATCAGAATGAACTAGAGCTGCTGCTGGAGCAGAAAAGCCAGTTTGTGTCCAGACAGGTTTTACCTCTCCTGGTTTCTCCCTCTGACCATCAAAGTCAGACGGGTCACAAAATATTTTGAATGGTCAATTTCATAAAACTTTATTTTTCATCTTTATTTGCTATTTCCAGAGTAGAATTAACAATACATCTTTGTTTTATGTTTGACTATCAATATTTTCAATCAGTTTTAATCTGAGTACAACAGAATCTCCTTGCTTTTTGGTTTTGGAATTTGTTTAGCTGGAAAAACAGAATTGATCCTTCTTATGGATATTTGACACATTATGATGTTGATTCATTTATTTAAATTAATAGTTGGATGTATTAGTAGAGTATAACACTACTCTGGTGAATCCCACACACTTAATGCTGGCCATGACAAAAGGTGTTTTTTCTTTTTACTAAGACTTTTCTCTGTGACTGGATCCCTGGTCAACGGCGCTCTTTAAACCAGAGATCCTCTGGTCCCTGGCCCTCAGGTGTAGCTGTTTCCCTGCTGCTGCACGCCTAGCTCAAATGAAGTGGCTGATTAATATGCTTCAGCAGCACCCGAAGAGGGGATGCAGTTATTTAAATCAGCTGTGCTGGAATGGTGAAATATCTTAGACACGCAGGACTGCGGGCCCTGAAGACCAGGTTTGGGGGCAACTGGTTAAAATGACCTGAAGGTGTGAGCTTCTTTTGTTGCAGCTTGCAGCTTTCAGTATCATTGGATTGTTTTGGGCAATGACTAAAAAATGGAGATTATAATATCACATCACCAGCAGATTCTCTACTGAGTGAGAAACAGTGCTAAACAGATTTGGCTGCCAGTGTTTTCAGAAACCTGAGCAGGTTTTATTACAGCTGTACAAATAAATACAGCTGTCTGATGGTTGCTATCCGACAGCTGCTTCATCAGCCTGGCCTTTAACTGCAGCACAGTGAACACTTCCTAAGGCTGCTGATGTAGGGACACTGGTCAGTGACAGCACAATCCTTACAGAACACATTCTCTAATTTATACATTCATTATTAAATTGGAACAGAAAAGTAAACATCTGTCTTCAAGATCAGCCAAGCAGTGACATCATCACAAATCCAGGCAGGATGTTTGCCACAGTGGCTGGGTCAGGCTGGAAATGTACAACTAAATACTGTAGGTGTGACAATGGAGCTCACCTTTCTACATGTTTACTGGATTACATGAACGTCCTGAAACAAAAACATTTACAATCTGAATTCAAAGACATCCCAGGTGGTTTTATATGCAGACGATCCCTGATAGTTTTGCTGTTCTGTAAACTACATGCCCTGATTCTACACAAATATCTCCTTAAACAGTAATATGAACAGAGGTGTCATGATTCCTTTTGCTGCATTTGTTTTGTTGATCATCCAACAGTTCAGGCCCCAATCTCAGCAGCTGAGCATTGACTGTTTGGGAGAACAAGTGGTCTTTGTTATCTTTACACAGTCTCAAACAGAACAAAACCTTCACATTCAAAGCTACACTTGAAGGTACAGTTTTACACTGGTACAAAAGAATCAACTGTGAATCGTGCATATTGCCATATTGGGGATCAATGCAGATCTGACGTTTCTGCTGGACCTGCTGTCATTCAAGTCAAATAATTATAACAAAATAAACATGTGCATTACATTGGTCAGCCAGTGAAAATCAATTCATAAGTTTTTAGAACAGAAAAGGGACATTTACAAAGAGTCCAGGTGATGAAGATGTACCATCTGACAGAAAAATAACACTGGGCAGTCTTCAAAGAATGAATGAAGAAATCTGGGGTGCAGTAAGTTTGGAGGTTGGATCTTAGTTAACATTTACATCCATTCTGTCAAATATAATTTAACAAATTCAACTGAAGCACATCTAAAAAATTCAAAAACATTTCCAAAAGTAATGTTTGACAATGAGCTCTGTTTTCCATCCCAGCAGGGTGGATGAAGAGTTCTGGCTCCTGTGTGTTCTCGATCAACAGTGTGCTCTGATGAACAAGTATTACACACCAATAACAGAGCTGTTATGAACTCAGCATTGTTCAACTTTTAGATAAACTGTGTTACAACATTTAGGAAAACTACAGACACCAAAAGATATCTCTTTTTGACTGCCATATTGAATTTGGATATAAAATGTATCCCTAGTATTGATCTTGTGGACCGCAAGATTCTTTAACAGGAACTGTTTGGAAGTTATGTCAGAAAGATGTTTGTCCATCTTATCATCACAGTCACGTTGAAACTCTGCCTGGGCTTTAAATGGAATCCTGTCTTTTAGTCAGAGGACTCTAAGATGGCACTCACTCCAAAAAGGTTTGCAATAAAGCAAAGAATGACTAGCATAGTGGTAGGCTTTATGATGCTGTGGGCCTGTTGTCCTTCACAGGCCCTGGAATCCTTGTTCAAGAGCATGGTATCATTACCTCTTTGAAATGTAATAACCAATGCCTGCAAAGTAAGGAAATATATAAGGGTCATCATTGGAACTTCCAACAAGATAATACAAAAAAACCCCATGTTTTTATTATTGCTAAATTTCACCAAATTTGATTAATATAATGATATATAATAATTGTTCATTGTGAGATTATGCCACTGCATTTTTTTATTATTTTCTGTTCACGTCTTTGCCAGAGAAATGGATGAAAGTGCAGGATGCTTGTTGGCTTGTCAAAGTTTCTGTAATTTACATGAAAAATAAGGTTAGATTTTCTTCTATAAATACAGCCAGTAAATCTTGATGCAAATATGAACATTGTGGCTAAGAAGTGATGGATTCTGTTCAGTGATTCCAGAGAGTTTTCATGTCTTTCTACATGGCTCAGATGATTTCTTTGGGTTATAGTGGATGTATTTTAAAGCATACATACAAAACATTAAATTGACAAGTTGTGGAATAAATAACTGTTCTGAGCCACAAATAGTTTTACAAACAGTGACCCACCCAGATTGAAGAAGATTATAAGCTGGACCAAATGGGAAGGTTTTTTACTAATAAGTCCATAAGACAGTAAAATAGTAAAGACGTTTCAGTGTTGGTGTTCACAGATGGACTAACTGTTCATGGTCTCTCCATCACAGTGTGTTTATTGCCCATAGTGCTGCTCACCAAACCTTTGATGTTGGTGATGGGACGGACATCGTGTAACTGTCTTCTTCGATCGATGAATGTGGCCAACCTCGACCTGTCCAGAGGCATCTTGGAGTACTCACCTCCTTGAGCGCCCCCCCGGCCCACCCACGGATGTTGTAAACATGAAGTGGCACTAGGCCTCTTCCTGGGATCCTCCTGCAGCACTGAAGTCACAAAATCCCTGGCTGCCTGACTTACATGATGGAAGTATTCATCCGGGAAACAGAAGTCCAGGCGGCAAATGTTAACACATGTTTCCTCTGGTGACTCATCCAGAAAGGGGGATACGCCACTGAGCATCACGTAGGCCAGCACGCCCATGCTCCACACGTCTGTCGAAACAGACACTGGCGTACCTCGGATGAGCTCAGGGGCTGCAAACTCTGGGTTTCCAAGTAAGAGGTGGACATATTGGCGGCTGGCAGAGAGCTGGACAGCGTCACCCAGGTCGATGAGCTTGACAGATGGAGCCGGAGCTCTAAGGTCCACCATGATGTTCTCTGGCTGCAACAGGAAGAGGTAAAAATCAGCCCCAAATGACAATAAAACTTTTTGTTGTTTTCCCCATACTATAAGTTATCACCTTAAGATCCAGATGTGCCACTCTGCAGGTATGAAGGTGTTGGAGAGCCTCCAAAGTTTCTTTGATAAAAAATGCTACTTTCTCTTCCATCAGCTCATCGTGGGCAACAAGATAGTCAAGCAAACGTCCATCTTCTAGCCTTATGCATGTAATATCAGACAAAAAATGCCATTTTAGCTAAGATGCCCAAACCTGAACATAAAACCACTCAATATTTTTGCTAAACAATCAGTGTCTAGCAGAATACCAAAGCTGTGACTTTTAAAATAACTTTAGTGTTGTCTGGACAGTGCCACAAAACTCACAGCTCCAGGATGAGCATCAGAGAGGTAGGAGACTCATAAGTGTCCAGCAGCGCCACCAGCTGGTGATTCTGGACATGACGAAGAATGTCTGCTTCATGAGCTACCTGCTCTTTCTTCTGCATCTTCTTATTCACAAACTTAACGGCAACCTGGACAGAAAAAAAAAAAAAAAAAACGTTTCTCAATTAAAAGACACTCACTGTGAAAGTCCAGGCAAAACCTCACAGCAAGTCATTTGTTAAATATCCAGCTGTTAAATACTCGTGTCATTTTTTTCAACCTTCTCTTGCAGCACTTCGTAGCAAGTTTCAGATGAAGGGGGTCGCGGGAGAACGAGAGGAAGCAAAATATATAGAAAAACTCAAACAAGTAAAAAAAATAAAACAAATAGTAAATTCACAAAGTTCAAGGTATTGGTGATCAAATCTAAAATTATAATAAAAATGTGAAATACTACATTTTATAAAACTATTAAAACTTAAAAATAAACAAAAGAATAAATGGTAAAACAAGATTGTTTCTGCCACACCCCAGATGCAACCCCAAAGTTAATGCACACAATACATTCACATCTATGTTACAACAAACAGACATTCAAACACCATGTCAAGAGGGACATGGTCCTTTTTTGTTCTCCTGTAAACACCAGTAAACACCAGTTTTCCCAGCTGTTCTTAAATGTCTGATTTTTTCCACACAGCGTTACAGTTCTCAAAGACAGGGTTATTTGAATGAGATAAATATTTCTTATCACAAAAATATAAAACATCAGATTATTGTTTTTCTTGGAGCTAAATAACTGTACCCATAGGAAGAACCTAGGCAGTATGAAATGAAATGAAATCCTCACGTTTTGTGTCCTACCTCTTTCTTTGTTGATTTGTTCAAACATTTTCTCACGACTGAAAAGCGCCCCCTTGTGAAAAAGTAGAGACCTGCCATTAAGACTCTGAGATTGGTTCCCACTGAATGTTATCTGGCGATTCGACAAGAGGCATGATGCTTTACCTTCCAATCTCGCTGATCTCAGTGAAGACTGACTCACAATTTTCTTTCCAATGAATCCCTGTTCCATCACATCCAGAGCCTGAGCAGGAGAAAGGCAGACACACAGAACAGAAACATGTTTTATTCTAGACATTTTCATTATTTATTTCTTTAATTTTAATGATTTTTTTCAGCAGGTTGTCAGCAGGTTGTCTGAAACCTGATATAAAATCTTTAAGATTAGATTTTATATTAAAGATTTTATATAAAATCTTTACTAAAAAACATTTTTTTCAATTATAATGTCGTAATCGACGTTATAATCGTCGATTACGACGATTATAACGCTGCATCTCTAGTTGTGTTTCCATTCCAGATGTGCAAAAGTTTCTTGGTATTCTGTTAATATAGGAAAAAACACAATTTTGCTTTCATGAAATAAGAAAGGCAATTTCAATCACATGTGAATAAACTTGTTCACGCCATTAGTAATTAAGAAACATCATCCTCCTACCACTTCCTGTTGTTTTCTTTGTCGTTTTGCTTGTAGTAACATCTGGTTGCAGATCACATGACTAGTGTGATGCAGAAAAAAGTGTTTCCATAATTTTAATACGACTGAAAATTCACCTCCAAGGACATGGATCATCTTGTATTTTTTTAAATTGTTGTGCCTCTATTAAACAAATTAGTTTTTCAGAACTCCAACTTGTGCAAATATATGGTCAATGAAAACAGTGACTGCTAGATCATGTTAAAATCTGCAAAGTTGTTAAATGAGTTACACTTTCTAACATGATTAAAGTTTATTGAAAACTTTCACATCACTTTATCTTGAATGAATCTATGGTGCATTCCAATGAATGAGTGAAAGAATAAGTCAACCAATCAATCAAGTTTATATAGCACAGTTCAAAATCAGTCAAAAAAATGGAGTGTATGAATTTGTGCTTCTTACTGCAGCTGCCCAGTGTGACCATATTTGAGGGTTGTGATGGAGGCCCAACCCCCCAGCGGTTGGAGGCTCGAACTCTGAATTGATAGTGACCTCCAGGAATAAGATTATCGATCTGGACACACTCCTCCCTGCAGCTGGCTGCCTGCTGCCACAGGAATGAGTCTGTGGGTGGGAGGAATGGGAATGAAGAGGAAGAAGTCCTTAGTCTTTTTGGATAGTCAAAGAGCTTCTTTTGATTCAACAGTTTCCACAGACCTTCCTGTCTGTACTCTACAGCATAACTGGTGATGGCGCAGTGAGCAGATGAAGCTGGAGGTGGCCAGTGGACCAGCACCATGGTGCTGCTCGCCTCCTGAGCCATAGGCCTCCCTGGGGCTGCTGGGATACCTTCAGTGTAAAACAATGAAACAGAAAAGCATTGGAGCTGCAGCAGAAGCATAGCAGGGGCATCTAGTGGTGAAAAACAAGAAAGGCACCTTGAACTTTAATAGACGCAGAGGAAGAAGCAGAGCCATGATCATTAACAGCAACACAGGTGTAGATTCCTGTATCCTGAGGCATTAAGTTGCAGATCTTCATCAGGATGTCACCAGTGTCCCTAGAAAGGAGAGAAAAAGAAGGAAACAAAAAATGACCAAGGAGGAAGCAAAAAAAATAAAAAATAAAAAATGCAAAAGCTGAGGATTGCAGCTAAAAAAGAAAGGCTTTTTGTTTTCACCTGTGGTGTGTTTTACCTGATATCAATGGTGAAGCGGTTGTTGCTGGTGACGGGGTTCTGGTCGGGCCCCTTCACAGTTACCGTGGGTTTGGGTCGTCCACAGACTTTACAGCAGAGGACGACTGTCTCCCCAAATGCACACACCACATCTGATAGCGGTACCAGGAATTCCGGGGCCACTGCAGACAGCAAACACATCATAGCCGTTTCCTCCTCAGGACACCCAAAGGCCACTCTGAGGCATAGAGTGGCTTCATAGAAGGTTTAACTTCTATGGAAATAGAAGCTAATAGTCTGAGTCTGTTTGTATCTACACCAATGGTGCTCTTTTGCGTATATAATTTTGTTTTCATTTAATTGAATGTAACCTTGTGCGACATTCGGTTTATTTCTCTGGGATGTGTAATAGAAAATGTTCAAACATCCAATAGAGTGAATACTTTTTACAGCCGTTGTATCTGTTGTGGCTCCTCCTGTTATATGTGATAACTTATAACAGCTGTTTAGACTTTGACAATTAAAGAGCTCCATGAAAGACCTGCCAAATTCAACTTTTAACCTTAGGGTGGCGTTTCTATGACTCCAGTTGGAGGTTTCCTTTAACGCTTTTAAAATTGTTCTTGGTATCTTTTAACTCCACCAGATTGGATCATGCGAATTCATTTGTGTCTCACCTTCCTGGATGAAGTTTGGGTTAAGAAGCTGGAAAGCAACAACAAGAACAAGATACCAGTTAGGTTGTAAACATTAAAGTTTATTTGTGCAGCACATTTCAGCAACAAAGCAATTCAAAGTATTTTACACAATGGAAACAGAAAAGAACAAACAAACAGTAAACTGTAAGTGAGAAAGACTAATGGAAAGTGATGAAAAGTTGGAAACCAGGTTATAGTTAATGGATGAGTTGGGTTGTCGATTAGTTCTTGTAGTAATTTTGGAAACCCGGCCATTGTTGGGAAATTTCACCACAGTCGGTGCTCTGATTCCAGTAAGCCTTACAAATGGTTTTATGACCCATTTCAGACTGATGGATGTTAATGACCAATGTACCTATGTGTTGATTCTACAGGTCTGGCAATGATCAGCCCTGGTTATGGCTAATGACATCCTTCCCAAACAAAACAGCTAACTCATAATTTAACAAGGAACAGACGAATAATCAGATTTTTTTTTCTATAATCAGACTGGCTTAGATACGTTTTTCCTCTTAACAGATAAAATCTAAATTTCAGCATTTCTGTTGTATTTCCCCAGGTTATTTTTTATCTGAAAATAACTTGAGAATCATCAGATGAATGTTCTGACACATTTAAACAAAACAGAAATGGAAGAAATCTCCAAGGTTAAGGGAAGGGAGTATAACAGCACTGCATCAGATTTTAAGCTAGTTAGGCAACAAATACCTCCATGCCCGTCTTTGGGTCAAGGTCTTCCTCACTTTCTGACTCATCAGAGGTGTGCAGGTCCTGGTGGACAGCAGAGAAACAGGACAAGAACAACAGGGAAAAAGGAGGCAGAGGTTTGTGTGAGCAAAAGAGAAAAAGGCCGAGCACATTGAGAAGAAGACTATTAAAATGTCATTTGGCTGAGCTGGTTTAAAAAGAATGCAGAAGATTGAAAAAAAGAATCAACAAATATTAAGATGTAAAAAATTATTACATTTAAAAACTTTTATATATGAATGGCACTCACTTGTAAAGTTTCTTTGTTGATTTTAAGTCATTTCTGTTTATGCTGTCATTTATTCCTACATATAAAATATACTCTATTTTTGATAGAAGCACGGCTGCCATTTTGCACCATCAACCTTTCTGACCAACACCAGCAAGATACTCAGGTGAAGTGTCTTGCCCAAAGACACAGCGGCAATGCAGGTAAAGCAGGAAGTTAGGTTGTTTTCTCCCACAGTCCAAAAGCACAAGAGGTTAACTGTGGACTCTAATTCTGCCCTTAAGTGTGTGACACTGGTTGCACTGTGTCATACAAAACCATTTCTGCATTTTTCAATTTTATTTTCATTATTTCAATTTGTGCAATTTTATGGCTTATGGAAACACAGCTATTGACACTTAGGAATGGACCTTAATGTACAATAAAGGTGACGTGCTGCCCTGCATGAGGCAGCACAGGCCTCCTGACTCCTGCTGCAGTCAGCTCAGTGTTTGAGACATGTCATCATTGATTTAAGATCAGTTTCATAAAAATGTACAGAAGGACTGGAGGAGTTACAGCACATACACACCACATCAGCCACTGGAACCTCAGGCCAGCTATACTCACTTTAGCCTTGTGGCTGGGGCTTGGCAGGGCTAGAGGAAGGGGGGAGACTGCGCCGTCTTTGGGTTTACGGAGGAGGCTGTTGTCCTGACTCCTGAACCCCAGAAAGGAGCTGTCCCTGGATTCAGCACGTTTCCTAGCACGGAGCGTGTTCCATGACAAAGACTTCCTGTGCAGTGCATGAAGGACAAACATCAAGCAGCCAATCACATAGTAACTTAGCAGTGTCCAGCTCCGCCATTGTGTGGATGCAGCAACAGCTGCCAGGTTAGAATAATGGAGGTGAACGGATGGAATCCAGAGGCATTTAAAGCTATTTGTTGCTCTGGATTCATTTCTCTCTGAATAATCGTCTTTGGAATTAGTTACTTATGTTCATGACAGGTGTTATGTCATGTTTAAGACATGACATAACACCTGTCATGGTGTCATGGCAGTCTTGTTCACAACCCATCAAATAAAGTGTTACCGAAGATTTTTTTTAAAGATACAGGAGGATTTCAGGACAAAAGAAAGAAAAATGAACTTGTCAACAACATTTAAATGAAATTCAACAAAATCTTTTTTTGTATTTTTTCCTGATTTTTTCCCCCAAATATCTAGTTTGTTCTGCCTAAAAGACATAACAGGAATTTAGTGCATACTTTATTTGTATGAAGGATCCTGTCGCATATTCTCCATGTGGTCACTGCACAGACATGGAAACTGATGGACTTATTAGTCTTTCCTTCAGCTTCAGTACCAGCAGGCCCTGGGGAAACTCTGCCATATCAATCAGATTTATGGAAAATTGTTGTTTTTTTTGTCTCTAGGTTTTAATCAATATTTAGAAAATCATGTTAGACCAGTTACCTACAGAAACTCTAGGTCTTTGTCCATTAAAAGAATCTTCATGTAACTTACCTCTTGCAGTATTTAAGCAACCATTTGAAAATCATTCATGCATTGTTTTATATTCACTTAAATCAAATTAAGCTTCTACTGTTGATGGAAAATCATCAAGAACCTCAAGACCATCCATGTGTGTCAAATAAAAAAAAGGTGAATTAAATTATTATAGCATCCATTGATTTTTTTTAATTTTTTTTATCTGAATTTTTTTCATTATTTAATTATCTATAAATTAACCAAGTTCTTGTTTAATGTTGGCATATCCATAGGAATGTCCATTATACTTTGAACACAGTCAGTTTTCATCCCATCAGAATTCCATCTTCGCAGTTGCTAGGCAGATAAAGGACTGTATGAACTCGGTGACTGGTTTACCCTCTGGGATTAGCACCAGTGCCAATCCTGGCGCTTGCAAGCTTCCACTTTTCCCTCCAGATGTAACAACGGCCATCATAGTCAAACATTTTAATTTTATTTAGTCAGATGACAGGGCATGCCTCCAGACCGTCTCTGTTCCTACATAGTTACAAACTGTAATCTGGCTTTTTATGTCGCTGTTGGAAAAAATTCATCCTCTTTGACTTTTCAGTCCATGTCAGTAACAAGATGTACATCTGAAGCTCTGAATAAAAATGAACCACAGATTAGCTAAAATCTAACATCTATGTTGAAAATGTCTTTCAGACTGTCATCATCTGGACTCTCCCACATAAATAAAAGTTCTGAATTTGGGTAAAAATATTCTTACATCAAGCAAAAATTGGTAATCCTGACTGAGCTAAAACAGCGAAAGTTCAGTCTGATTTAATGTTAGACAGAAAGGAAATGTGGCATGACCTTATGCAGCAGGATCCTCAAATCCAGTCAGTCAACAATCAGCAGGACTCTGGAGATCATGGGTGCATAGTGAGCAGGTCATGGCAGGTCATTCAGCCATTTGTCTCAAGTATGTTGGACTAGAGATGCACCTAAAGGGTGTAGGACACTGGGACTCGTGGCCTGAATTTGAGGAGCCCTGGTATTCAGGATATCCATGTTCCTAAACACAAACAGTTCCTCAAAGGATAAATTCGAAATGTCCTTTTCGATTTACTCAAATTATCTGTGATGTTAAAATGTATGACTAAAGAGAAAAAAACAAAGAAATCTGTAAAGGAGCAATGAATTTCTTAAACCTACCTCCATGCTCCAGACAAAAACTCTTGCTTTTTCAGACGTTACTGCATTGGCTACTTTTATCTACTTTATAAAGAAAAAAAATAAAATAAAAATTATATATATATATATATAAAGCCCTCCAATATAATAGAGGGCTGTTATATGTGGACTTGCACATCAAGAGTGTTTTCTGATCACACTTTCTGCAAACTGGTCCAAGTTCAATCAGATTGGTGAACATCTCTGTAGGTTTATCATTAAATGGCAGTGGAGTCTGGGGATTAAGACATGCATTATATTTCAGATGTACACTGAAAGTCAATATACAATTTGATTTCTGATTGGAAAAACTGATTTAAAATTATAACTGACAATTTAATGAAAAACATTTAATTCACTTGTACATCAAGTGAATAAAAAAATTAGGGATGTGGTGTTAATTTTCCAAATAGATGCAAAAGCTAATCTGGAAATAGCTGGAATACAAAGTCAGTCAGGTGTCAACAGTCAATAGTTTAACAAACAGAATTTCTAAGGTTTGACAAGAATTTAATCTTCATATGTCTTGATGTGGATGCTTTAAATTTGTATCATGGATTTGTAAATTTTTTTTATTTCCTTTATTTAAACAGGTGAACACCGTTGAGATCTGAATCTCATTTTCAAGAGGGACCTGGGCAGAAGTCTGCAAAAACTACCTTCCCAAGCGAATGTTTAACAAGCTCTTCGTTTTGTCCCATCAGAAACTTGGACAGAATACACAAAACGCTTCCAGAATGCTGCATCTGTTTAGAAATCTGCCATCTTTGTTACCTATCAATCAAAAACACCTGATGGAGATGTTGAGTGATCTGGGGAGACGTAGCTCTGTTTGACTTCTCAGTGGCATCACATGATGCCACTGAGAAAAACAGAGATACTGTTGTTCAAGAGGCCCTCTCCATTGTCATCACAAGTTTGCTCAGAAGGAAAGATGAAGTTTAAAAGTCATTGACTCAATGTGATCAGGACAATCTGTAATTCGATCGAAACCCAACTAATCAAATTTGAACTGAACTGGATTCCTTACAGCTGGGCATAAATTGGATCCATTTGTAATGTGGCTAAACTGTATCAATCTAAATCTCAAGATTTTAAAATGTGAAACGTAGCACAGACAGCAGAAAAAACAGTTGTGTTTTTTTTTTTTTAAAGAGATGCACTGCAATTTCTTTTGGTCTTAAAGAATTCAAATCTTTTTGGTGAAATAAATACAATCCATGGTTCAGTCTGACTTTTTCATGCTTCAGTCTGAGGGTTGTTTCTTATGTGGAGTGTCAAACCGTGAAGGTTAGTAACAACTCAAAAACAAACTGAATCAAAAAGAACACTACAACAAAAAGAAGTAAACGGTGCAGATGACCACACTTCACACTTATATCTGGAAATAAAGCCAAGATGGCTGCGGCTCAGTTCATCCCCACACATTTCATACCTGTGAAACAATTTTGCAAATATGCACTTTATCGTAGTTTATTGTTCAGTCTAGCTAAAGTATTTTAGAAAATTATGGAAACAATTAATTCTGAAAACTTTGACTCAAACCCTTATTGTTCAACTCTGATTCTTGCCCTCATTTATCCCAGATTACTTTTAGTGCACATTAAATATTATAACCTCTGATCTAACCAAACTAGGTGGATAATATTGATTTATAAAACCATATTTCCCTGCAGTAAACTACTGAAGTGGTAGAATATTGAAAATGACTGAAAATGTTTGGCTTGGTTTATACCAAATATTTTCCTGGCAACTGATTCCTGAAACATCCCAAAGCAGGCAGCTTCATTTAGTATTTGAGAAAGTCAGGTGCAGAATTACCTAGAGCTAGAGAGGTAAGAAAGGATGGAAAGGACATAGAGATGAAATGACCAGCAGCCACCAGGATCGATGGTTTTCGTACACAGGAATGCTAGAAGCAGTAAAACCATGCTTTACCTACATAATGTCTACTGAACTGTAGGTGCTTTGCTCAAAAATGAAAAATTATCTCTCATATTAACAAATGGTGTACTTAAGTGTGTGGAGAAATGCAGGCAGATATTCAGTTTTCTCTTGTAATTTATTTACAAATATTAAAAACTACATACCATCTTCATTCTAAAGCAGAACAAAACATGTCCACTTTCACGCTTCTGCTCTAACTCATGCTTTTATCCAAAAGGTTTATTTTACATATTTAAAAAACATCTAAAATCCTCATCGGACTACGGACAGAACAAAGCTGAGCGCTGCCGTTAAGTCAAACATATTGCACAGCCTGACTTCATTCATATTTTTTTTCTTCATAAATAGTGCAAATGGCATTTTTTCTTAAACAGGAATGTTCTAGATATAACAGTATGAACTTTGTACACTGAACAAAATCAACACAAAGCAGGAAACAAATCCAACTTTGTCTAAGAAATAAAATAATAATTAACAAGAAAGAAAAAAACAAGAATCAACACAAAATGTATACAGATTGCCACAGACAACAAAATAAATATTCTCCTCTACGGACAACAGAATCCACCTGAAGACGACCAGGTGAGTTTTATTCTGTCAAAGAAACAGTAAACACCAGAAGTACAACAGAAAAACAGAAGCAGGTTGTTAGAAATGAAAAAAAAGAAAGAAAAAAGGTCCGGTTTTAGCTCCACATGGACCCCCGGGTCAGAGTCAGCTACATGTTCTACTCAGTCTACTCCTGTGGGATCAGTGTGTGTTTTAGCTCGCTTTCAGGCCACAGCTAGTGGATTTCCCTTCAGCAGACTGGCAGTCAGTTAGATTGGAGGTGAGTTGGGCAGAGTGGAAGGAGGGTGGTGGGGGTACCTCAGTGCTCTGTAGAGCAGTGACTCAGTGGGAATCCTTCTGTGTCCTGTCAGAACAGGAAGCAGCAGGAGGGGTGAGGGATTAGGAGATGAGGGCACAGGCAGTGAGGAGTTAGGAGCCCATTCAGGAAAACACAAACACAAGCAGGCAGATGGAGCTTCCACACCGCTCATCCAGTCCAGCCATCTGTCTGCCAAACATGTGCTGCTGGAGGGTTCAGGGAAGCGGGAGGTTTGGGGGTTGGGGGGAAAGGGGGAGGACTTACTTGATGTTGTTGGCATCTGCCACAGCAGATGGGAAGGAGGAAGTAGAGAAAGAGTCTTTTATGGACTTTGTGGGCGGGCCCAGGACGTGTCCCGGCAACCAGCCCTCGGCCTCGGGTGACTGGCTGTTGGCTGGCCGAAAAACGAGGTACATGTTCTGCTGATTGATGGTCAGGACTTGGACCACGTCTCCTCTGCTGACACATATCTCGTTCTCTTTGAGTGCAGAGTAGTCCTGAGTGACCCGCATGGTGGAGAAGAGGCCGTTACAGTCATCGTGCTGAGGGTGGTGGGGGAGGAGAGGTTAGGGATCGCAGCAGAGTCAACATGTTTTCTCACATTCAAGCTGAACTGAAATGTGCATCTACCTACATAAACAAGCCCAATATCAACTGGGGACTACAGCCTAGATTTTAACCTTTGCTTTTAGGTCAGCTGACTTACAGAGTGTGTGTTGTGTTTACTCAAAATTTCAGAATGAAAGGCGGACCAAAAATACCTGGATAAAAGAACATGCGAGAATGCAGGAACTTACAGTGGATTCAAAGCAAGATGAGCTGCCATTGGAGGTAGAGACTTTTAAAGGGCTCTTCTCACTGAAGCCCAGAGCTGAGGACGGCCGGCTATGGGAGGATGAAGATGGCCGGTTTCCTGACGATGAGGACCGTCTGATCAGAGAGGAGCCGCTGTCTTTGCTTTGACACTGCTGGTACACAATGGGAGACTGCAGAGCTGCAAACACACACAAAAGGTTAGAGTTGATGGTTTCTGTTGAGCTGCCACTGGATTACATGGGGCAGTAGAACATGTCTCTTCCTCAGTGTTAAGCTGCTTCAACACCTTGGTGCCATTTGCAAACAATATTGATATAGCCTATGTGCAGAGAGTTGGAAAATAGTTTTCTGGTCTTTCATTATGATGCCATTTTCCACAATGAATTCATCTCTGTAGGGACAAATGGAGACAAAGCAGGCTCAAGTTGTGTCTTTGTTTGGCCATCCCCTTTATGAAGACAACTAGCTCTTTAAGCACGTTGTCGACGTTGTAGGTTCCGTTTCAGCCAGACTTTCTGGGGTGTGAGGATTCGGCGCTCTGGATAGTGTGTCAGATGGACTCAAGTTTCATTTCGTATGCCACATTTATATTGAACATCAGTGGACCACCCAACCTGCTACCACATGTCTGTTTCTGTTAGCGTAGCAGCTAATATAAAAGGATAACATTAACTGAAACCAGATGTGATGAATACAGATGTCAACATTGAGTCATATGCCTTGATAATCCATGTGACACAACTGGGAACCAATAGCATTTCTGCGACGGAATAGTTGAAGGAGTAATATTTTGCATGTAGGGGTACGTGTGTGTTGGTACGTGTGTGTTGGTGTGTGTGTCCGCACCTGACAGAAAGTCATTCTGAGCATCCAGGATGTTCTGGATGTGTTGGACCCAGACCTGCTTGGTGTCGACGTTGGCTGCCTGCAGAGTGAAACGCTCCGATGAGCCACGACAGAACATGACGAATTTGCAGGCGTCATTGTCGACAGATTCCTCCAGTCCCAGGTTGGTCACCTGTAGGGGGATCCAGTAACGATAGTTATGCCACTCATTCAGCAGCCATTTTGTATTTGAATGAATGAATTAAAGAATGAATATCTGTCCATTTATCAATCTATCTATCACAGCTGTTCAGTCATCTTTAAATAAAGTGATATGAGCGTCTCTGGCATCAGCCAGTGGAATATCTGACAGGATCTTCTACCCACCTTAATGCACTTTTTGAATTGGTAGCCAGGTGTGGATGAGCCTTTCCTAAGCAGTTCACTGAAGATGACGATTTGCTCAAAGAGGAAGACTCTGCGTTCTTTGGATCGCGACAAGACTCCAGCATCTTGTTCCGTAACAAAGAAGGTTTCCTGCTGCAGCAGTTTTCCCTGATTGGCCAGATTTCCCTGCAGGGACAACCAGAGTGGCTTTAAAAGCTGAAGTTTCAGAAGGACTCCAGTCAGTGACATGTTGGCATGATAACACACCTCGTATCCCTGAAGCCGGCCCAGATTCATCATGTCGTTGCAGAGCTTAGGAACCTCAGACATCAATTCCACAGCTTTCTGTCATGAGAGACAGAAAACAGTCCTGGGATCTCAGGAAAAATACCCAACATTATAGATGCAGGCCGGACTCTACACACAAAGTATTCTCTCTCTACATGATAGATTTGCTTTACCTCAATTTGCTTGCAGTCCATGCCAGCCTTAGAGCTGTACTTCAGGTAGTCCTAAGAAGAGACATTAGCACCCAGTTAACAGTGACTCAAACAGGTCGCTTATCAAGCTAAAGTGCTTAGAAAAGTGTTGATAGTCCTGGAAAAACCACCAAGTTCAATGTATTTTAGGTATTAGAAAAACACAAAGAATACAGATAATGAAGAGGAAGAAAATGGGTTTTATTTTAGAACTGTAGCATGACCGCAGAGTGTGTTGCAAGTAGAGAGAACAGATAGTTTGTCTTTGTAACGTGTGTGTTACAAACACACGTTTTGTGTTTGTAAAGGGTATGAATACATTTACATACTCTTTACATTGTGTCTCCAGGCTCTGGGACATTAAATAGAAAAAGCTACATTTGCCAGGTCACAGTGTAAAATAAATGTAGTGTGTTGTTTTAGTGTTTGGTACCTTTAGCAGCAGCTGGTATTTGGTAATTCTCTGGATGGGTTTAATGAGAAAATCACTGATGGTCAGTTTAGACTGAATGTCCTGCTGGATCCCCTGAAAAGCAGAACATTAATAACACAGAGATCTGGTATTTAGTCAAATGCTTCTGACAATATATCAGACACAGAAATGATCCTGAGACAAGAACAAGTTCAAAACTTAAAATGTTATCAAGGACAGATGTGACTCACTAATAAAAATCTGAAAATCATGAGGGAATCATGTATGTTAAGACATAATGATAATAAAAAAAAAGACTACGTACGTCAAAAAATTTGTCATATTCTGCAACGATGTACTCAGATTTGGGTTTATTCTGACAGTAAACCACATACATGTGCAGTCTTCTCTCCTGCAACACAAACATTGAGGTCTTCACACAGTTCAACGCAGCAATGTTAGACATCCTTCTTTTCTGTTTTTACTCACATGCTTGATGAAAAGTTCTGGGAGGAGCCCGTTGTCGTCAACACACTTCTCAAGCTCTCCTACGAAGAACCTGAGGCCCACCAGAGGAACGTCAGCAGCAGATACAGTCAGCCCATCAATGCTTCCAGCCCCATCTGGGAGACTTACTCTCTGTGCCAGTCATAGATGCGGTGAATGTTCCCAAATACTATTTTCTCTTTTCCCTTCATGTCCTCTGGAACGCCCTTCTCTTCTATCCGCTTCATGAATCCCTGCAGAGAGACAGAACATGACGGTGAAGCTGCTGTGTTCTGCTTCGCCTCACCGAAGCCTGGAATGGAATCCTTACCTCCACCACGATTCCCAGGTCTTTGACGTAGTCCTTTTCTGTTTGAATGAGCTCGTTCAGGACAAACCTGAACACACAGACAACAGTGTGGACACATCAGTCACATCATTGTCATGTACAGTGATGCTACAGATCACAGCAGTGTAGAAGAAAGTTAGTCTAAGTACTCACGTCCGGTGTCTCATGGCTTTGGCTTTCTGGTCCTGCTCGGAGTTCCGTGCCTGAACCGGTGTGTGTTGTTCCGGTGGAGATGGAGGGGTGAAGCCTGGGTATGGTTCCACCGTCTGAACAGGAAAAAAAACAAGTTATTCATGCACATGGCTACAAAGTCAGTCTTCTGTAACCTGAAGAATATTTCTAGCTTTAAGGGATCAAGATGAAACTTGTCCAGATGTTTATATTTTGTCGCACTAATTGCAGCAACAGTGTCTACACAGGTAATCATTTCTGCAGCTGGTTCAGAATGCTGCTGCATCCAGGCAGCAGCATTGCTGACATTTCCGAGCTGTAGAGGGCAGTAGTGGTAAAGGGATTTCTTCAGCAATCAGCTGATAGTGTTGACCTATCAGCTGACTGTTGAACAGAGAGCAGTCTTGCAGCTAACTTTAAACAAATGTCCTCCAGAAAAAGAACCCACTGTGTCTTGATTAAACATAACATCCCACAGCAGCTACTGCAGCCATGTTTTACTTATGAAACACAGAATTACATTGCATTTAAAATGTGCAAACTTTGCTAGCGACAAACTACAGACAGCAAATAAAATCACAGCAACAATCATAGTTATTTTGGTAGAAAACCAGTTGCAAACTGGAGTTTGGACAGAGCTCATGCTACTGTCTAGCAGTTCACAGAGGGGTTATGGTTGTTTTCAGCTCCCAGACCAATGAAGAACTTCAGCCTGCCATAAGACTGAAACGAAGCTACACTGACCAGCAGAATCAAAGTGGAAGCTGATATAAACAAAGTGAGAGGACTCGGTGGCTGATTCCAACCCAGCCAACAGACACAGTGTTGCTGTGTGTCGGACAGCAGGACGCCTGTATGTTCTCACATACTATGATGAGTTTGCTCCTTTACCTTTTGGTATTTAGATTTTTTTAAGAGTTGTGCAACGTTTTCGTAATATACAAGAGAATTAAATTATATGTAAGTTAAGTAACTAAGGTGATTATCGAATTTATGACTAAAATTTATTTTCACCATCTCATGTCTACAGAGAAGCTATGTAAAGAAAAGCTGTTGGCTTTTTGGACTCCAAAGGGCAATTCATTTACAACAAACAGTGGCGACGGCCAACACATTCACACAACATTTTACATGACAAGAAGATTGATCTAAGATAAATATTACAAAATAAAATTAGTAAATAAAAGTGTGGGCTAAAAATGACTTGAACTGCAGTAATACAAAACTGTTGTTGTTGAAAACAACAACAAAAAAACAAACTGTGTTCAGCAAAGCAGATCTTCTTCCTGAAGGGAGAAGAATGAAGTGAGTGTAGAGGATGAGTGAAATCTACCAAGAATTTTTTGGGGCTTTGGACACTAATCTGGACTTAAATGAGTCCATAATGTTCTTCAGTTGAGTTTTAATGATTGTTCTGTATTCTTTGATAACACCCTGTAAGCGATCATACATTTTTAAATTTAACAAGCCAAACCAGCAACTTCAATTAAATAGCTGTAAAACATTTTCATAAAAACAATCAATATTTAAGGTCCTCAACTCCCAGAGGTGAGCTTGACGACAGATTCTATCTGACTTTATGGGTCTGAAACTAAATATGGCAAGATATTTTGTGGGCATTTGTTCTTCTGCTTCTGATTGAGGATCATTTTGTTCTCTAGCTGGTGACTCACCATCTTGGTTTTAACCAACTTCTCTATGGCGCTAACCAGCTCTGCAGCGCTGGGGACGTCAGAGGACGACTGCAGAGATGTTAGCAAGGATGAAGACTTTGCGAGGAAGACAGAAGGAGCAGCAGGTTAGATTGGAAGGAAAGGAGGAAAACCATAAGAACCCAGTTAGAGTTATAATCATCACAACAATACTGAAAACAAGAAAGAAGAAAAACAAAGCTGAAAAGAAAATCTATGTACACACTCATTTAAAATCTTCAGATGTGGATTTTTTTAGATGCGTCACAAGATGTGATCACTTGTTAAGTCAATAATGAAATGTAAGAATTAGAGTGTAAATGAAGATGAAGAAATATTTTATTCCAAATAAAATAATGTAAAATCTGTGAAAAATAAATTGAGATTTAAGATTTTACTGGACAAAAGGTCAGTGTGAATTCAAAGCTGAGGTGAATAAACTCTCAGAGAAACCAAAACCTCCTCTGGTACCTTTTCTTCTGAAGCTGAGGGGTCCTTCATGATCTCCATGGGTGGAGGAAGAGGAAGGTGGGGCTCATCATCTGGCTCTGGCTCCTCCTCTCCACCACTCTGTATTCCAGGAGACTGCTTCGATGGAGGGTTCCCATCCTTGATGCTTACTCTCTGTACAAGAGACATGGAACAGCTCATGAAGGAGCTTCATTTTATTGATTAGTGAAGAGCAGTAGATGGCTCAGGGGTGGAAGCTCATGTGGCTAAACCATGTGAGAAAATTGCTCTCACTGGAAATCTAACAGAAAATAGATCAAATAAATCACAGAAGCACAGGAGCAGTATTATATATTGTTCAGCTGCATAGTACAATTTTATAGCACAATCAATAACTATGTTAACTTCATTTGTTATAAAAATGTATATATCAAATAGAACTAAAAAGAAAAATGATTTTATAATTTAATGCCTTGAAATTGGTCCTCTGTCACTTTATAAACTCCTCTTTCTGAAGCTCTGCCTTCAGGAAGTCATCACACAATCTATTAACCCTTTAACAATGTTTCTATCAGTGTCAGCAGATGCACAGTTGCACTAGGAGTTCACATAATTACTTCTGGTTAGTCTGAAAAACTTGTGGGGTGGGGGCTAGCTGCACTGTTAGATGGAAACTTGGAAACTTGGAGGCGGGGCTAGGTCCACCCAGGTGTTTGGCACAGCTCTATGATTAAAGGATTTCTCAAAAATGCATGAAAGAACCAAGGCATCACTCCAGGTATGTTTTGATGATTATAACACAATGTAAAGCTCAACAAAGTTGATTTTACATGATATTTGTCATTTATGTAGGTCTTATAAACCAAGAGAACAGCAGCAGCTGCTCATGAAAGCATCTTAAAACAATTTGACCCGTTTAAGTTTTTGATGGCTCCAGTGGAGTTTACATGAAAGATGTTTGACAAGAGCATTATTATTCGTTTTAGGAAAATTGCTTTTGGTAAAGCAAGTTGCTACTCAATGGAATCTCACTCTCATCAGAAATTTTAACAAATATAACACATTTAAAATACACTTAATGAAATGGATTATTAGTAATAAGAGCTGTCAACACTTTATGCTCTATCCCTTTAATATATAAATTCATTAAAAAAAAATCTAATATCACAATGCAATGAAGAAACAACATTTTTCCAGCTTGTGTTCATTAACCTTACCAAAGCTCTGCAGATGTATGATATCTGGACAGTAGAGTCTGGCATGTTAACTTTTACATATTCTTTAATACACACCAGAAAAGTAAAGCTGTATGAATTATTGAACTCAAGTATTGTTGCCCTAATGCTTTAATAAATGAACTTCATCAGCATGCAGTAGTTCCATTAAGTGAATGGATCTGTGCTGCAGGAACAGATTTGTTGATGTCCCGTTTGTCAGTCAGTTTACAGGGAAATCTGATGTATCCACATCTTAGTTTGATGTGAACTAGGAAGTTGAGATCTGATGACCCAGGTCAGAGTTTAAAGACAGGGGGGAGTGGTTGTGTTTACTGATGTCAGCTTTAATCTGAACCATCAAGAACCGACCCTATAACTGGGTCTGGAACAGATAAAGATGGAATAGATGCTAAGTCATCTTTTGTGTGACTTGAGGAGCTGGTGCTGAACAGCTGACAGAAATTATTTAAAGTTTGTCCAGGACTATTTCTTTTTTCCTCCCTCAGTGTTCCGGTTTTAACGCAGACTTTGATTATTTCAAGCTTTTCTGGGGCTGACCTACAAAGAGGCTGATGAGCAGCAATTAGGCGAAATGTGACTCTACAGATGCTGAACTAAATTTTTTCCATATATCCGTATCATGGAAACATACTAAATGCCTGTAACTCTGTGTGCAAGTGGGTGTGTGTGCGTGTGTCAAGCAAATATAATCTCACCCTCACAAAAAGAGGAACTTTCTTTGTTTGCTTTCCATGATGTAAATGTAAACTGAGTTACATAGATTTACAACAGGAACACATGTTTATCTTTAAACTCTGGAGTCAACAGTTAAAACAAAAACAACTTTTGAAGAACAAAAGCAGGATAACAGGGATTATTATTTCATTTGGATAGTTTTTTTTTATATGAGTTTTTAACCTTCGTTTCCCCATAAATTTAAAATGCTTACAGTAAATCTAATATTTTTTTAACAGCAGGTTCAAGCTTTGGGTCTCGCCGCTTACCTCTTCATTGTCCTCCTTTCCTGGTTGACTGCGCTCATTAGCCTTTCCACCACCATCTCTTCCAGAACTGAGTTCTGGAAAAACAGAACGGCACATTTTTCTAATTTGATAAAAGCAGCTAATAGGCTAACAGGTTAATGTTTGTCTGGAAACATCAGAACAGAAACTTTTCAGCTTCACCCCATCTCCTTGTGTAGAGATGGGGTGAATGAATATAGATATCAGAAGGAGCCGAGTCCCACCTGGCTTCTTCTGCTTGGTGCTGGGTGGTTTCTTGCTGGAGCTGATCCTGCGTCCTGAACTGGGCAGCCACTTCCACTTCTGGTTTCCAGAACGTTTGGAAACATTTGGAGAACCCGACTGAATGGAGTTGAGGGACGGCTGTGGCTGTAGGTTCGCTACAGACTCGGTCTTCCTGTCAGAGCTGCCCACATGGTAGTTTTCTGTGAAAACACACACACAAGAAAAAGAAAAAAAAAAGAAATCAGATTTTTCACATGGGGCAAATTTCAGTGATGAAATTATAAAATGTTTTAGACATGCAAAAAACCCAAACAACTAAGCCACCATGTTTTATATTGTATATATTTGTTGATTATGGATACTATTTTCCAACACTGCTTCGGTGAAAGCTCCAAGTAGTTCATATGTTGAGCTCGTCCAGCCGCATCTCTGCCTGACTTGATGCTGGACAGGTCAGAGTCTCAGTCAGGTTCCCAAAGTCACGGGATCTATGCCTTTGTCTCCATCTTCATTTCTGAGACAACAGCTTTATCATCACAGTTTCCAGTAAAACCAGTGCTGCCAGTAACCACCAGCATTGTGAGGGCAAAAAGAATTTAATACCTGAACAAGCAGCAGATATGTTGGAGGGAGAGGTCTCCGAAGGGGGAACGCACTGTTGCACAGTATCCTACATCACATTCCACTTTCCAGAGACTGATTGAAAATGTCCTACAGAGAGCATGTTAAAGCCATACAAGCCAAGTGAAAAGGGACCATTAGTTGGTAAATTCTTCTCTTATGAAATTTGAAGAAAAACATCTCCTACGCCTGCATGAACAATAATCTACGGTCTACAATCAGAAGCAGCACAATGTCTCAAAGCTCGTTGAACCTGTCCAGTCACAAGTCAACTTACACTTTCACTTTTCATGGTTAAAAATGGAGACTTCTGGTTTAGAGTGAAGATGAAAGTAAAAAGACTTAAATTTTAGTTTGCCGTGCGCAACAAGAACTTGGGTACAAGACGTAATCATTTCCAACATTATCTTCAACAATAAAAGGCTAAAGCTGGCCTAATATTAATCTTTAACAGAAGATCACTCACTATAGGACACTTTAATGGTGCCACAGTGAACTAAAATCAGCTTCAGTGGAGCTCAGAATTAGTCATTTAGTTATTCAATCATTTGGATAAAGAAATTTGACCAAACTAATAATTTGATCCCTTACATTTTTGTAATAAACCTTTTTAAAATGTGCATATGACAAATTTCTGCATATTCTTGAATCTATGAGGATAAAGAACAACCAGACTACTGAACAGTTTCTTCCCCCGGGCCATCAGACTGCTTAACGCCACATAACACCCCTCCACACACTCACAAACCAAATCACCCCCCATGGACATGGTCAATACATGCACTTTAGTTTTTTTCACAACACTGAACCTGTGTATTCTATGGCACTTGTATTGTATTTATTTATTTATTGTGTAGTATAAGGTTTTAGCTCTGCTACACTGGTAGCCAAGTAACGACATTTTGTTGTCAAGATTCACCTTGTGTATTTTTTGTACAATGACAATAAAGGAAGTCTAAGTCTAAGTCTTCAGAAAGATGAAAGTAAATGTCCAGTAAAACCAGTGCTGCCAGTAACCACCAGCATTGTGAGGGCAAAAAGAATTTTCGATAGGGGTTACAACCAAGCATGACGTTGAGAAAAATGCTCACCACACCTGAACAAGCAGCAGGTACGTGAAACTGCACATTTGCTGTATGTCTCCCTCCCTCTTGACCAGAGGTCGTTCTATGAAACAGTGATGTTTAGTTTTTTTATTTCTATTGCTTGTTGTTGTGCAACAATGAAATGTTTCCCTCAGATTTCTGCGTTACACATTTCTTTTATTTTGATCACAAACAAAAGACCCCAAGATAAACCAATTTAAAAAACAACATTTTTCAAATGATAATTTCATTCATTAGCACAAAACGCTTTCCTGACCAACCCTATTTCAAAAGGTCATTTATGGTCAAACTTTTTAACAAGTTATAGCAACTACGGCAAAACACAAACTGCCATCAAGATTTTATGACGTCAAGTTTACTTTAGCTCTGAGAGAGCTAAAGTAACCCCATCGCATCACACTACCACCACCTTGTCTGACTGTATGTATGATGTTCTTTCTGAAAGGCTTCAACACTTTGACAGGAATTCAGTGTTATCTCTTTAGTCCATAGTACAATCATCAAGATGTTTTTTTTCTCAAATATGAGACGATGCTTTAAATTCTTCCGGCTCAGCAGTGATTTCGGATGTCAATAAGTCCATTTTAGTCCAGCCTCTGTTTGACTGTTGAATCATGAACTCAGACCTTAATTACACTAAGCCAGGCCTGCAGAGCTTTAGATAATGGATTTTCAACTCCAGTCCTCCAGAGCTACCATCCTGCAACATTCAGACGCTTCCCTGCTCCAACACACCTGAATCAAAGGATGCATCTAAAAGTTGGCTTCAGAGGACTGGACTGAGGCACCCCTGGTTTAGGGGTTCTTCTGTGACCTCCTGGATGAGCCGGGATTCTCTTGGAGTAGTTTTGGTTTTCACACTCTCAAATGTTTTCTTCATATGTGGATAACAGTTCGCACTGTGGTTCACTGGAGTCCCAAAGCCTCAGAATCAGATTTATCTGATGTCAGTGACCATTCCTCATCTGTTTAATGTCTTCAGATCAGGGCATGATGTGTAGGACATGATTGAAAGCGTTACAGACTACTTTATCTGGTCACCTATGGAAGTTATTTATTGATTATGCTGGTCAAACACTAATCCAGTCTGGGTTAGACTAGAACATTTAGTTCAAAATATGTGACCATATATTGGTACAGATAAATATTCTTAATACTTTTCCCACAGCACTGTATGTGTCTATGAGGATAAAGAAACTGCAGGTATGTAAAGATCAGACATGGGAACATCACGCTCTGTTTAACTGACTGAGTGCTCAACTGTTACTGTACGATTATTTTCGTCAGCTGTCAGACAAAAGCCAGCTTAATACATTTCCTGTTGCAAAAACTAAAAACCTACTTCAGTCATTCAGTTTTTGCTTTTTTTAGCAGCTGGTCTCGTGTCCAATGGAAATGACCCCCATGCTTCTGTTGCAGTGATTCATTACTGAACTGTGACAGACTCACTTTTTTTTATTCTAATCGTGTCCATATGAATCACATTAAACTAACGATTAAATGGGATTAAATTTTTCTGGTGTGGAATAACTTTGAATGTTCCAGTTCAGATGAACTTTGTGGTTCAAGCCAGAAACTGGTGAGCCCATCTGACAGTGTGGCTGTCAGCAGTGGTCATGTGTAAGGAGTGCTGTGAATTAGCTGCACTCTTACACAGCTGCTAGCAATGCGCTGGAGCTGCTGCAGCGTTTGCTGCCATCTGTGCAAGAAAAAAAGGTTCAGGCTGAAGTGGGAGTTCTGGACATGTTCCATGTAGCACAAAGCCTGTTAATGTCAGATGGATCTAAAGATGAAGGATCAACGCAAAGACAAGAAAAGCAGTTTACTATGACGGATTTTAAGATAAATAGGCACTGAAAACTCAAATTGTCTCTGAATTTAGAACAGGGTTAACATCCTGCTGCAGATCATTTGCAAAGAAAATATGCAGTTATTTTAGCTCTAACAAATACCTGTTGACTAAAGATTATTACTGGAAATAAATACTCCAGGAAAAAATAAGTTGGTTATGATAGCTCATAGACCCAAAAATAGTTTTTTTTCCCCTGGTTGTCTGTGGACAGAAGGACACTCATTTATGTTGCATAATGAATGGAAAGTTAATGTTAATTCCCAAGAAAACAAAATGAGCAGCAGGAGTGAGAGCCTGCTGTTCTTTTGTTTTTGACTTTCTCCATAGAATAATTTTGATGTACTAGTGCTATTTAACAAATGAGCGAACACAGGGATAAATACAGTACTTACTAACTTGCATGGTTTAAAGTGACCTTTCAGATAGAAGACAATATCTAAACTTGTCATTTCACAAACCCTCCCCATCACCATGGAGATCTCAGGGATCCATTCTAGTTTCTGTTAATATAAAAACTATCTACAGTAGCTTTATGCTCATCCATTCACTTCCATGCAGATGACACTCATTATGGCCCATCCCCAAAAACACTTTGAGCGTTTTAATCATTTTTGCAATCTTAGTCTTCTTTCTAAGATTTTTACAGTCACTTTCAAACATCACCACTTCAAATGGTACAATTATTGGGCCAATTTCTGAATATAAATTACTGGGAATTTGACTGGACTGTTGTCTGTCATTGTCACATCAATAAGCTACAATCAAATATTGAGTCCAAACTTGGACTGATCCATCGCATGCATTCATTTTTCACTTCCTGTGCCAGGAAAACACCTGTCCAAATGAAAATCATGCCCATGTTTGACTACAGCGATATCATTTTGGATAAATTCCTGTCCTTACGGTTGCAACTTGATGCTATATACACCACTCTGCTCTACGTTTCACAACTAACGCCTCTTTTCACTCACATCACTGTAAGCTGTAGTCTTCTATTAACTGTTGACACTTAAAAAAACAAGCAAACAAAAAAAAACATTGGTGTTTAAGTTGTTGCTTTAAAATACATCTAGTGTTCTCTTTATTTCCATTTAAATCAAATGTCTTTATATAAATATACAAAGACATGACTTCATCATCTGGGCTTTTCCAGTTTCTGAAAAGGCTTTATGATTTTAGTCTACCTCTGAAACTAAAGAAAAAAATATTCTGCTATTTATAAAACAAATAATATTAACCCCAACGAGGAACATGTTAAATCCATTTTGTTGCTCACAATTGTAGCACTAACCCATGTGATTCTGAGATTTGGTCTTAGCTGCATTAAACATCAGATGCATCAGTAAACCTACAGCTGCCATGTTTATGTTCCTACTCTCAGGTTTTATTTTATTCTTTATTCATCTAACTGAGGTTTGTCTTCCAGTTACTGGGTCGCATTTTTCATTTATTGAGTCCATCCTGTCCCCTCCTGTATGGCAAAGGAAGATATGGTTGCTGGTGTGTTTACCTTATCAGACTGTGTCAGCAGCGAAGCCCTGATAAAACTATTCTAAACATTAGCTGTGCTGCACAGTGCTAAGGAGGTTTTCCACCGACTCTGACAACCCAGAATCTCACA